CCGAAAGCGGCCGACCTCACCAGTGTCCTCCCCACTGCCTCCAGGTTGATGCACATCAGGATGCGAACAGCATGAGACAACCCCATCGGTAGTCTGGCGTAGCAAGGGCACACCAGAGACCACTCCTGGAGTCCGCTCCTCATGTCCACGGGTAACAAGGACCATACTGCTGCCGCCGGGATGGCGGGGGTCGCCATCCACTTCCACATCCACTCAGGCAAGAGAACTGAAGAGAATGCGTTGCTCTCATCACATCGTGCCATGTGTATCTCCATGCCTGGCGCTCGCATCATAGCAAGCGCCCCTCATCCGCCTAGTCCGTGTTCTCCACGGCGTCGCGCATCACTCCAGAGATAGTTTGTGGGCACTGCCATGATGAGCTTCCTCAACTTAAAGCCGTCCTTCTTCAAAACTGCTGAAACTCCATTGATCGTCATCACCTCGCTCCTCGGTCTAAATACCCACAGCCCCGGCGGAAGGTCCTCACGATGCAGGTAAGATATCCACTGCTCCATCTGGCCCCCAAAGAACCCAAACTGCCTCTCTAGTTCCTCCACGTGCTGCATGGACTTGCCTGCCATCTCGACGACGTTCTCCTCCTTCTCGCAGTACTCTGCCTCATCGGCAGGCAACGCCTCGAGCAGCGGGACAACCTTCAGCGTCGTCACTTCGTCCACTCTGTTGGCAATGAACTCCGTGTGGACGTCTCTCTTGTGCACTCTCCTGTAGCCTATCTGGTTCAACTTCAGTAGCTCGCACGTCGCTTGCACGCCTGTCACTGGGAACAGCCGGCGAACATTGAGCTGGTCCTTAGCGCGCTGGATCGCCCGCGCCTGGACCCGCCCGACAGCAGAGTTCGTCGTCACCTCATTGCTAAACTTCTGCTGCCACGGTGTGGTCTGCTGCTTCATATTGCCCAGGTAGGTCGAGTTGAGAGCACTGAGCACTCGATTGGCAACCTTCCTCACCATCTGCTTCCGATGTAGCCTCTGCCTACTCCGACCCGAACGCACCGACACACGACCTGGCTGTGCAAGAAGTGGAACTGGTAGGACCGCGTCGCTGGCACCGAAAGCAGAGGCCATTTCAGATATCGAAGGGAAACTCTGAGTGTAACTGAACTTCGCATCTTCACTAGGCTTATCTGGTTTGGCAATCCATCTCTCCTCCCCCCGAGGCCGGTACCCTCTGGTCTTCTCGCTTGGCGGCGGATGAGGCTGAGCAGTGCGTGACTGGGGGGCCCCCCCCAGCCCGGCACCCTCTGGCCTCCCAGACCCGCCTTGAGCGAAGACTGAGCAGTGCGTGCCTGGGGGGGCTCCATCAACATCCTCGAACTGACCCTGTCGCTGCCCTGCGCGGGCATCTCGCAGCCCTTCACCCCGCGACTCGTGGTGAAGGGCCCCCGGCAGGCGTCGACCTCCCGAGCTCTTGTCGCCACGACCACGGCCCTTGTCCTTGTCCTTCCCCTCGCCGCCGTTCCGTCGACGTAACTCTGCTGCAACTCGTTCAGCCCGTTAGTGCTCCATCTTGCTGTGCGTCGTCGCCTCCGTGATGAGCCAGCCAGGCGCGATGTCTATCCCGCTCCCTGGGGCGGTGACTGCCCTCAGCCTGGCTGCGCCCGCCTTGTCGCGCGTGCGTGACTCGTGCACATAGGCCGACAGATGGCGCAACCCTATCTCCACATTGTCATTCGTGTTGAGACAAATCATCAACTCCTGGTCATTCCCGCACTTGCCTAGCTCGAAGTCCAACGTCGCCGCTGTGCTCCACAGCGACTGCCACTGCTCTCCTCCTCGATATCCTGAGAACTGGGACTGAAGCCAATGTCTGATGCTCGTACTCCCAGCCGCGCGACTGTTCCGATAGATCTCCATCCCCGCCCTCTTGAAGTCCGGCGGCAGCGAGTGGGCCAAGGCGCCCACCTCGGCTCCTCCCGCGGCCGCCGCTGGCGCCCCGAACGTGCCATCGAACGTGTTGGTCGTCTCCATATTCTCGAACCCTGACAGCACCGCCTTCAACGACTCCACGTCGGGAGCCGAGCGAGTCTCAGCTCCCACATAGCCCCGAGCGGCGAGGGCGGCTCGCACTCCAGGGTTCAGGTCCCCAGTCTGCTCCAGCTGGTGGACGTAGTTCCAGAAGCGTCGTTCCCACCACGGGTCTGAGCTCGCCCCGGCGCGCAGCATCATGAGAGCCCCCTTCACCTTCTTGGCACATGCCGCTGCAGAAGTGGCAGCCTGCAGCCCTGGTCCGCCTGGACCACCTCCTGGCACCGCCGACATGGCCGCTGCCGTGGTCGGGCCCGCGCCCGTCGCGGGCTGCGCTGGCAGGCCCGACGGTGCGGCAGTCCACGACAGCGGCCCAGTGCAGCCCCCCCCCCGTGGCGAAGGCGTGGAACGCGTCCATGGCGGGGTCCACGCTATGGGGGGGGGCTGACGGCACCCCAGGCTGCACCATGCCTGGTGGGGGTGCGCTCGGCGGCGGCCATGCTGGCAGCTCGGGCGCACCTCCGCCACCCACAGCCTCAGTGCCGCTCGCAGGGCCTCCGTCCAGCGTCAGGCTCGCCAGCTGGGCGCGAAGGGCCTCCACCTCGGCCTGCTGTCCCGTGGCGGCGCGCCACCAGCCGCGCACCGTCTGGATGCCGACCCAGACGGCGGCCACAACGATCAGCGCGGCGCCCAGGCCGAGGCGCACCAGGCTCCCGCGGCCCGTCTCGGCGCGCCACGCCAGCATCGCGACGAGCAGGCCCAGGACGCCTAGCGCCCGCGGCGCAAGCCACCAGCCGAGGCTCACGAGGGCGCTCGGCTCGGGCGGCGTCGCGCTCGCGGCGCTGCCTGGCTCCGATGGCGGTGGAGGGACCATCAGTGCGCGGCGGGCATCTGTGACCTTCCTGGATGGCCACCGCAAACCTGGCCCCTCAGGCCGTCATTGTTGCGGTTGACCCGAAAATCTATGGAAGCACGCTTGCTGTTGGGGAGCAAAGCTGGACCAACACTATACATTAATACCCGCTCGAAGACTCTCACTTCATCATATATATATATACATACATACATACATACATACATATATATATATATATACATATAAAAATATATATTCCTCTTCCCATCTTTTTATAACTCCGGGCGGGAGGATCCCCCCCAAAAAAAACTGACTCCGGGGATCTGGGGCTTTGGGACCCTCCGGGCTCGGGCCTCGAAGCGGCCCCCTGGGCCTCGCACGGCGTTTTGCCAAGCCTTCCCAGCACGCCTAGGGCGATCAGGGGGGTCATCGGAGACGTCCCAGAGACCCCCAAGACAGCACAAGAGCGCTCCAAGAGTGACCGACGTGACCTCAAGATGGCCCAAGAGGCGTCCAGGACGGCCCCAAAGAGGACTCCAAGAGCACTCCCAAGAAGGCCCCAAGAGGCAAAAATCATTGATTCTCTGTTGGTGTTTTGGTGAATTTGGGGGTTCTCCTCTTTTCGGCTCCCCGACGCTCCAAGACGGCGGTCTTCTGGACGTCCGAAGCTGCCCGGGAAGCTCCAAAATCACCCCACAACCATCCGAAAGGGCTTCCAGGCAGTCCAAGAGAGCCAACACAACACGGGCCCATGATGGCCCTCAGAGAGCCCCTTGGCGGCCCAAGATGGCCCCAAGACACCCTCCGAAGCATTCCAAATCGTGACCGGGTCGTTCAGGGAGACCGCGGTTGGAGGCAGGGTGACCCGAGGAAGCCCCCAGAGGCCCCCAGAATACGCCCAAGAGGCCTCCAGAAGGCAGTAAGAGAACCTGAAACAACTTTTGTGAGGCCCGCAGAGGCTCTCCAAGGAGGAGCATCCGCGAAAAAGAGCTGAGGAAGGTAGGGAGAATGCGCAGGGTATGGCGAAAATGAGGAAAAAGAAACATGGAGGAAGGATAACGAATAACATTATTATAGCGACGATGCCGGAACAGGCAACAAGGAGTTATCGCTAAACTGTCGGTTTGACCTTCCTGCTACTCCGCCTGCATGCCACACTTCAAGGACCAAGGTGCATGGCGCGAAGCGCCACTGCAGTATTGTATATGTATATGTTTATGTATATGTATGTGTATGTGTAAATGTATATGTGTATATATACACATACATACATACATACATACATACATGTACATGCATGTGTTTGTACATGTACACATGCATAGACATACACAGTTAAGCGCGCATAAACATATACACAATCGCATACACCTACATATAATACATATACACATATGTATGCATGGATATATATATATGTCTATATGTGTGTATGTGTGTATGCGTACCCATGTACAAGCACCTATGCATATACATGTACAGGTACAGCTACCTACGCGTATACATACACGTGTGCATATACATATACATCAGCATATACGTATATATGTTTATATATACTACATTAACACATACATCTACATACACATATGCATGGACATGTACACACACATATACATGGATGCGTGTTCATAGACATGTGCATGTACGCATACATGTACACATGCACATACATAGACATATATATTCGCATGCACGTATACACAAATAAACCCGAAATACTAATACTTGTACAAATGTGTTTAAGTGTACCTACCATTTATGATATGTATATATATATATTCACATATGCATATACATATACTGCTTCTAGCCCATATACACACAGTGCATGTGTATATATATATATGTACACACGTATACCAAACAAATGCATATTCATTTTCATTGGCATATGTATATATATATATATATATATATATGCGGATACGTATGCATATGCATATATATACACTTATATATATATACATCGCAGCAAACATACACAACGAACTCCACACCCACATATACATATACATATACATGGATGCCCACTCCCGACTCGAAGCGTCATACGAAAGCTCGTGGTCCTATCTCGACCTCCCCCTGCACGAGGGAGGGAGCGCGGCCAGGGAAAAGGCGAGAGGACAGCCGCGGAGGGCTCGGGAAGGGCGGCGCTC